CCTCAGGAAAGCTTTTTCTTTTCCATGTACATCAAGTGCCCAAGTCGAAATTTTGATTCTATTTTTAGCCTTAGTACTCCATTCAATATTTTGATACTGTGAAACCTACATCAACCTCTTTTGATTCTATTTAACGCGTATCCGATTCGAAATTTTGAGTCTATTTTCAGCCTCACTATTCCACATTTAACACATATTTTGATATTTTAAAGCTTATAATACAATCTATTTTGACGTTAAAGAAAGTAAAAAGGGAAACTTCGGATATTATTAAAGTCAAAGTAAGAATAAATTGTATCGTTAGAATTAAATCCACTTAGCTAAATTAGTTCTTACCGCGTTGTAGAATTCAAGATTTAACACAGGATCAAAATTTCGACTCGAGTGTAAAACCAACAGAAAAAAAGCGTTTACTTTCTCAATTTTTGTAAAATTTTTGTTTGTAAATTTTTTTAGTTGTATACCCAGCAAATTCGAGGTTTTCACGCGAAAACAAGTCTATATGTGACGCCCAAATGAAAACAGACATACTCGTTTGGGGAACATTAATCGATAATTAGGATCTCGGCGAGACGATCGCCTTCTGGCCGTTTTTAGTGGGAAGGGCCTCTGAGGTATCCCAAACCCGAGCGGAGTTATTTGCGTCCGGTCGGGTAACGTCAGATAGCCCGCTTTTCATCGGTTTTCATAGTCGGGACACCTCCGGCAACACAGTGAATACTACTCCTCGGGTCGCACAACAAGAGTGCGCGCGCGCGCGCACGCTTCGTTTATTAGAACTTTGTAAAGGTCGCGCGCGCTACCGTAGCTCCGTCTCATCAACGTGTGACGTGATAAACGAGCAGCCGCCACGGTGAAAGCCTCCACCGTCGTCGCTCGAGGCTCGCATCACGAGCGGAGGTCCCGTGAAACTTCAGGAACATAAAGCGCGCCAGGAACAGTACAATTTCCGCCCACGTCGACCGCCGCGCTTTTCAGGAGAGCGCGACCGACGCCACGAAGAAACTTGGCAAAAAGCGGAAGAAAGAAGGCCGGGAACGTTTCCGCCTGATGTTACGGTAATCATAACCGTAATGCGACACTGCGAAGGCGTGTGTCTCGTTTCCATGCGCAAGAAGCGGACAAGTGCGGCTCCGCGAACTCGGTCTACCTTCGGAGGAAGGTCTGTAGTCGCAAATGCTCGCGAAACGTCCGCCCTCGCGAACGTTAATTAAATAATGTATTAATGGAGTTCGCCTGAAGCTCTCCCTGTCTATCAGTTCAGTCTACTTCCCCGTCTCTCATTAGTGTGGAATAATAGCTCGCGATGTGTATATGTGTGTGTATGTCTGTTTGAATTCTTCTATTAGGAATATATCAATTTTGCGTCGAGATAAAATTGCAGCGATTTTTCCTCCAATTAGAGCACGAGTCGCGTTATATATTTATATCGGTTTTAAATCGTCACGCGCGATTCACGGTCTACCACGACGAAGATACATTGTACGGATTAAGAGCGCATATTTAGCACGCACTTAGCGACCGGCGATCAATGATGAAACAGAATATCCTCTTTTTCGCCGCAGTTTCGCGATCATTTATGAGGGCCAGCTGCTCCTGCTCTGCCCTGACCGGGCCGGTGCGGCGGGATGTATCGTTTGCGGCATTTCTATTATGCGGTCAATAATTTACCACCAACAGGTGAGCTATTAATAGATTATGTCCCTTTAATTATTAGCCAGCGCGTGTATCGTGAAAACGTTACGAACGAATTTACCGCTCGATAATTGGCCGCGGCTGAACGATCGAAATTGCTTCGGTTAACTATAAGAGATGTCGGTGACGTGATAAGTTGAAAATAACACCGCGCGCTAATGAGAGTGTTTTGGCGCAGCCGATTTAACGAGTTGAAAGTTAAGCATGAATGTGATGTGAAAGCCGAGACTGTAAAACGGAGAGTGAAACGGGTATACGCGCGTGAGCAACATAATTATGTCGTAAACACTTCCGTTTATAAACTTTTGCTATAAGCTGTTGTACCGACGCGATCACGTTCTATTGTATGATTCTGTTGCGTGGTCCTTTTGTTAAAAAAGAAAAAAAGGACAAACGTGTTGTTATAAACGTGTTCGTTCGAGATCATGTAAAATGCAAGAGAAAGAGATGAGCACTCTAAGATATTTCGTACAAAGTGCCTTGGGGGTACTTTCTCTCGCTCGCAGATACCTCCGCAAATTTCGAGTAAATTTTTCCTCGGTAAAAATTTCTTTAAACCGGCAACTCCTACCGCGTCTCTTTCATCTTTAGCATTAAGTACCGCGGCAACTAAAGAACTTGAAAATATAATACGGTTAAACCACATCCTATTTAATAAAAGAGTCTTCATAATGGGTAGGGATTTGCCTTTCATGTGGCGCTTACACGAGAGGACGAAAATCGAACGAGCCTGAAATATTAAGGACAGCATTATTATTCCCGCGCGGAACAGGGACAACCGTTAGTATCGCGAGGAACGACGAGTCAGTCGACGCTTCTGTAGCGTGGCTCTTAACCTTGCGTGAGAAAACTGGTGATCTTAGCCCTACTTTCCTTGAGACGCCGCCGCGAGAGTAAAGGTGAATGCATAGATGCTAAAAGAAGTAATATTTCATATCTGTCATGCCAAATCTACGTCGCCATTGTACCGCGCGCGTTGCGTTATACGACTTCTAGATTATCAAAGTTTTAATCAAGAGAGCTATATCAGCTGTCGGAAATAAAGGACAGCACCTCAGCATCGCCACACGTGAAATCGGGTTTATTCCTGTGTATTATTTTGAAAAATCTACATTCTCCAAAAATCGCGTTCACTGTATGAGAGAAAAGAGATATTTTAATGCAATTCTAATTAGGGAAACCCAAATTTTTCCAATATTTTTTTCTGGTCTTTATATTACGTTACATCAATTGAATAAAACATGGTGATTTTTCATATAATTTCATTATTCAGCTATATGCTCAGTGTTTTAAAAATATTTCATTTTTTTATATTTTATTATATTGAATAACATAGATATAAAAATAGAATTCTCCCTGTTTGATATCATAAAAGTATATAAACATTACTGATTGAAAAAGCGCGAGTTCTCGCTTATTAATATTTATGTTTCGATTATTAATATAGAATTCATGTTTGGGATAAAAATAAGATATTGGTATCATAGTGACGTAATTTGAACATTATATAAAAAATTATGCTGAATTTGGAAAATTTTGGGAAACTTTTTTTTCTGCACGGGTAATAACATATTTACTCAAATTCTTTCATCTGAATAAAACAAATAATTGCTTTCATGAGAAGCTGAGGTTTCGAAGAAACGTTTATTTTCTTATTTGCAAAATAGTCTACAATAATCTAAGTAAATATGTTATTAGTACCCATTAAATAAATATTTTCTTATCTCTCAGATATCTTTTGCTGAAGCAAAGTTGAAAAGAACAGAATTGAAGAGGAGCGACGGCCGATTGGGTCGTCCAATCGAGAAAAATAATTTTCCGCACGAACGTCGCTCATAATGCGATTCGCGAGCGCACAGATGTGAATGCATCTTAATATTCCGACGACGACTCAGGACTCGTGGTTCGTGTGCGGAGAAAGTGCAGGCAGAGGCGGCGGAGGCGCAAAGTTCGCCTGGGTTCATCGTTAACTACGTCCGCGGAGCAGCGAAACTTCGTAGCTTACCAGCGACGAAGTTCCACCGGCAAACTTTTCGCGTCCGAAAATCACTTTGTGCGCGTCCGTTTCTCCCTTTGAGCGGCGCGCGCGTACGGCAGCATCCAGTTTGTTCAACGTATCCACTCGCCGAACGCTTTCGCCGTTTCGTCGGCTGAATTTTCACTGTTTGCATTAGACACGTTCGTTACTTTGGACGCGCATTTAGACGACGGCGAAGTTAACGAATCAAACTTCCTCTTTTTTTATCTTCTTGAGACGCGCTGTACTTCAAAGAACCAAAGAACATTCCGTGCTATGAAAGTTTGCGACTCGGACAGGAGCGTCCGGGGAATAACGAGTGAAGGTGTACGGCGGACTTGATGTGTGATACGCTTCATTAATGTTACGCTTCATTAATGTTTACGTCGAAAATGAATCGCGCTTTCCGTAGCAATATCTCCGTTACCAATATTTTATGTATTGACTAATACGTATCTTCGTTTTAACTTCAAGTACGAGAGAACGATTTGGTGGAATCAAATAAACGCTTCTTTGGAATAGTCCAAACGAATTTTTCGATTGATCAAACAAAATTTTGTTTGAAGCAAAAATATTTATTTGCGGCTTAATTCCAAAGAAGTATTTTTGTTGTGTCAATCAAATAATTCGTTTGGACTATTCCAAAGAAACATTTATTTGAATCAATAAATCGTTCTCTCTGTGTATTAGCTTCATCAATGGGTAATCGTGCAATACACAAGCAGTTATCACTGTGACGTGACAATTGCCATCAGAAGGCGTTGAATATGCTGAGAAAAAAATGTCTAAGAAATATAAAGAGTATTTATTCGATAAGTATTACTAATATATTTATTTATATAAATCTTTCTATGCATGAAGAGAATATTAGTTTTCATAAAAATTTTTTTTAATTTTATATTGTTTTTAGTAGTTTTTAACTACAGGAATAGACTGTCGGTGAAGTTTATTTTAGTAAGGAACAAAGTAAATTTTGCTGAGAACGTAGCAGACTTTGCTAGAAAAACAAATTTATTAAAATATTTTTCACGTAAGAAAATATACATTATCTTAAAACCTTAACTTTTCGTGAAAGTAATCGTTTATTCTATTGAAATAAAAGAATGTATACATATTTATGTGTATATGTATCTATATATAGATTTCAGTAGATGTGTGTATTAATATAAATGATTTTTCATCGAATAAATGACTTCTGTTTTTCAGATATTTTATATCTGAAGTATAAAATTGATATTTATATCAATTTATATCAATTATTGTATTTTATATCTGAGTATAAAATTGAATATTCTATAATAAAATATAACGCGTGTTGAGCACGTCTATTATAATGTAACGTACGTCGAGCACGTGAATAAGTCACGCGGCGATGTTTTGAAGCGGTCGACGCACCAAAGTTTGCTCGTACTTACGAAGGTCGAGCGACCTTTCCCACAGTATATACACTAGTACGCGACGAATTTGACAAACACAACGGTCCTAGACACGATAGCAAGCACAACGCGTGTTATTACTCGTAATTTCGAGAGTTATCAAATTAATCATAGCGAATGTAAAGGCTCGTCTACAATAGCTATAAGAATATGGCTGTAAGGCTGTAACGTGAGCTGTCAGCGAATGAAAATAATTCATTTCGCGTCTCACAACCTTATAGCCATATTCTTGCAGAAATTGTAGACGAGCCTTAAAAGTATTCTACGATGTTCTAAAATAATAATCGCAATTATTGTGCCGGGATGGTCGTAAGCAAACGCGACAATGTAAAACTTATAACTACCATTATTTCATTCTCGAAAATTTAGGAAATAACACACGGTCGTAGCTTCATGTTCTGTCAAGAGATCGCAGTATAGCTCTACCGCTGTTGCTAATCAAGAAATCGTTTCTGATTTCAAATCCGGAGAAGCTGGGAGCCGTGGTAGCAATTTCAGTTGATAGCGATGCCGCACCGAAGGATCCGGTTCGGGCCGAGCAGGGTCGGTCTGAAAGTAAGTTTACCAATTCCTCTTAGCTACCTAGTCAACCTTTTGCGGTCGTAGGGTGGAATATAGTTGTCTAAACGACTTTAATTACTTCATTAAAGAACTGACTCGTATCTAATCTTGCTCGTTACATCAAATCATTAAGTCTAATTCGCAATATTGTTCTTTTGTTGTTAAAGATAAAGACGTAGCGTTGCCGATCCTGAGCTGCAGGTTTCGGTGAGTCACAAATGCAAACAATTAAGGTGATGGGTTAAAGAATCAATGTGACATGCTTCATCCGTAGTTTTTCATATGTGTATATGTCGAATATATGTACGCATGTATCCTGAAAAAAATATCTAAAACAGAAAATGTTTATTTGATGAATATTAATAACGTATTTACTTAAAAATAAATTCTCTTCCGTTTAAATAGAATAAACAATTGCTTTCATGAAAAGCTAAGATTTTCTTAAGGCTCTCAGAATGTTTCCTTATTTAAAAAATATTTTACACGTATATAGTATAAGTAAATATTAAAATATTATCGAAAAATTTTATTTACTATCCTTTAGATATTTTTTCTCTCGATGTACACACGACTGTTGAACGAAGTAGCGATATAAGTCATGTTTCAAGAAGCAAAAAACCTTGCAGCAATACTCAATGCATTCAATCATTAAATATAATCATTGAAGATATTTTCAAAGGTATGATTGAAATGTGATTAAGAGATTATATAAGTTATCATTGCAATGTATTAAAAGTTACTTCTATATAGCTATTTCAAGTACTCTGTTTCGAAATTAGAATTCCAAAAAATAAGTAATTATATGAAAACTATATAATTTCTAGCTGATAAAGTAGTATCCTTCATAGAGAATGCACAATTTATTATTACCGATTTATATCACTACTTCGTCCAACGACTGAATTCTCGGAACGACCGTCTGAATACCGTCAAATACAATTCGAAGCTGAAACTTCGCGAGATATATCCCGATGGCGCATCCAGCATTGCGCCGCCAGCCGCGAAAAGCTCGCATTAATTTCATTCGCGTTGATAAATTCCACGATCCACTACGTTCCTTTAGTTCTTTACATTTCCGGCACGTGCATTCGCGTCGCAATTACGTGCCACGGCTATTTCGTTAACTTAACAATTCCGTTCGGTTAAATTCGCCAAAGTGTCGCAACACGACTCGACGTGACAATCTCACGCGTCTAACGATTGTTACGCGCGCGCTCGCCGGCGCGTTCATTTCTCGATTACGGCGATTTTTTATTTTCAATTTTTATACATATATATTCACGTCGCACACCGGCACTATGCTCGTAAAAGTGACGTATGAATTTTACGATAGCCGATTGACTGCATTTCGCTCCCGTGTACGTCGATAGATTTGCCGATCGTTGCGATTCGTAACTTTTTATTTTTTTTTATATTCATTCGTCCGCCTCACAATTACTTCTCTTGAAGGAATAAACGTGTCTCTCGCTGAATCGACAATTCGTCCAAATATTACGAAAATAAAACCTCATGTTGCGGAGAATATAGAATAATCTTCGCACAAGTATCGCAAGGAGCTGTCTTCGCGCAAGTATCTCGCACCAAGAACGCTGCGCGGTTTTCATTAAGGAAGCTATTACACGTGATTCGCGAGCGTGTCTCTGAAAATGCCGGAATTTATCGTTTCACTTCCCGCCCACGTCAAGACGCTCGTTAAACGTCGTTAAAATCTGAACGTTAATCGCGTCGCCGCGAGTATGTGAAGTGAAGTGAAATGCGATCGACATGGAATAACCGCAGGAAGGAGGCTGGACGCTAGCCACTATGAAGTTGCGTACTCAAGGCAACGCAGTCCAGGATACAGAGGCGAGCTTGCACCGGTGGACGTCTGCGGAGTTTCGTCGATGGACTTGGCCAGACGTCGGTGAGTCCTTTCAACGTCAAATGGCGACAGTTCGATTTCAGCTCTCACTTCAGAGTAGAGTTCGTTTGACGCTTCAGTTGCATAATGAGGTCATTAGTCTCGTGTATAAAAAACGCATTGAGGCTAAAAATAAAACGCAGTGTCAAACGGACCGCACTCTCAGTACACACGGAAAAATAGCATTTTACTGCCAAGAAAAGCGATTTCTCGGTTTACTTTCCTTTAATGGTTACCTTCAATAAAGAATATTTTTTCTTGATAATGGTCTAAAATATACTCATCACAAATTTGAGAAAAGCTCATTATGACGTACTGAAAAGAAAAATTTTTCCTCTTTGAGAAGAATATTATAAAACTTCATTGAAGAGAAAAAGTTGTGCGATTTTATGCAGCAAGCAAAAACCAAACGTGTTCTTTAACATTCTCGATTGAAATTATAAACTTAGTAAAACTTAAAAAAAACTTAAAAACTTGGTCCTTATATTATAAACTTGTGACAGAAATTTGCGGATATATTAACTTATGAAGTATTTGAGAGCAGTATGTATTTTTCTGTGTGTGTGTAGAGCGTTAGTAGTGCATGAATAGTCGCATTGGTTTCACTTTAAGCTGTACGATTTGATGACATTTTGAGAATCTCTGGATTCTTTCATCTGCTCTTTTTATTACGTTTAAACATACTATCCGCGGCTACTCTTGCGATTAATTTGGTAGCTGCGCTACCTTTTACATAGTTTACATAGCTCTCATCACGCTTTGCGAAGCGCAAATTATTCGGCACGTACGTAAATTTCGACCAACCCCCGCGATAAAATAATCCTCGCGCTCAGCACTTCTCGTCGGGCATTTATACGCTGAAATTAGTGCGGTTAAAACGCGCGACGCCACCGTAACGATTACCGGAGCGATTACGCGGATCTCGCTGCGCAATTGGTTCCACTCATTTCCAACCGGCATCACGGTACACACGAGTTTGCTGTGCACACGTAACGGAAGATAAATACGACAGTATAACTTCGCCCTACAAGCCAATTTGGCAACGAAATGTCATTAGGGAGCGACGTATGTAACGGCGTTAATTGTAATGCTGGTGCGAAAGCGGACGGTGATTCGTTACCCTCGGCCCCCACGTGTAAGCAAACGTAAGACATCGATCGTTGCGAAACTGTGTGCCCTAACACACGCGAGGTCAACGTAATACTAGAAACTGGACGTCTAACTTGATCCTGCGCTGCTAACACACAGTGATCTTGTCAGTATCAGGATTTCCTTCACCTTCCTCTCTAAGCCCCTTTCAGCAAGATCAATCTTTCACAACTGCTTCTTTAAATAAATACAATACAAATACAATACAAAAACTTAAACCATTTAAAATGTCCTACGTTTATAATTTCACATCGCATTCGCGTTCATAAATTCGCTTATCGTTTTAATCGAAGCAGAATACGGAGGGAGGGACGGAGAGAGGAGAAAGAAAATGAAATTTTAATGAAAATGACATCGGTGTTAAGACGTTGCCACATGTCCTCAGCAATTTGCACCGCGTCTTATTGCAATTTAGCAGGAGCAATTCGATAAGATAAGCTCGGTGCACTCGACTCATTTCTCATTTCTACGGGGATGAAGCGCGTTATTAATATTAATGCACCGCTCGTGAGTAATTCGAGTCGAACGGATAACTTCTGAGAACTACTGACAAGTATCGTAAAAGTATCATAAAAGCATATCGCACAAGAATTAGCAAAAGAAATTATTAAGATAACGCTTGTGTTGACGCAGCTGACACGGCTGCATTAATAACATCTGTCAAAATTAATGACACTCGTTGCTCGGCGATTACAGATGCACCGACTTTATTCCCGTTGAGGTCAAATCGATTTTAGGTCGCTGAGAATTTTATTTTTTATATTTCATAGTTGATGTCTGGTCTAAAATTACAACATTTATAAAGGCATCGGTGTTTCTGTTGAAAAAAGTTCAGTTTTGAATCATTCAATACTATTTTTTCATTCTTAAAACATATCGAGTCTAGAAATTGCCGATATTCGTCACGACGATTATAAATACACCAATTATAAATACACACTGCAATTGGAAAAAGTTCAGTTTTGTATCGCTGAAGATGTTCTCTTTTAAGTTTCGAAACATTTCGTGTTGTATGTTGATGCGACGCTCTTATTTATGAAACAGAGAAAGAGGAGAGTCAGGCAGACGTTGTATTACTTGATCGAACGTTACAATTGTTCAGAATGCGAGCGATGATTCGCGGGCACATTCTGAGCTGGAAGCGAAGCTCGGCCGCGCCAACTGCCATTACGGCATCGCGATGCGCGATTGTATCCCGAACTTAATCTTAATTAATCGCGGTATTACAGTATACGTACGATTAGGTCTCGGCGCTGTTGTGCAGTTTATCAATAGCAAGCGTAATTCCGAACCGTTTATTCCCCGCGACGGAACTTTGGACCGGCTTCTGGCCTTTCCTCGGCGACCGTAGCACTTTGCTAGATTAGAATAAACCGATACCATCGACATCTTTATTCGCAGTCACCTAAAACTGTCGACCCTCTTTCGCGCCAAGATATATCTTTATGACCGCGACGTCGGAGACTTATTCCATAGTAAATGGCATTGCTTGAACTTTAATCGTGATATACGGCGAATGTTGCCGTTGCCACGTTGGTACGCGGCCGAGCGACTTATTCAAACGCGATTGAATAACGCCGGGACGCACGTGTGGTCAAGTAATTCTTCCTTACTCTGAATTTCTCGGGGTGAAATCTCACTCGAAACAAGAGCGAAAGGTGCGACAGTATTTTCATTTGAAGCAATAGTGAAAAGTACCGCCACTCGAAATCGCAGGAGTGAATGTTTCATTCAAGCTTAGAGTGAATTCTGAGTTCTGAGCTATATAAGTGGATTCTTAAACTCATATTAATAGTCATTACTTGAAATTTGTTTCGCGTGGGATACTCAGATTTTCACACAAGTTCTTCAGTTAAATTATATATGTGATATTATATCTATAATCGAGCATGACTTGATACTCAAATCTAAGTATTTTATTTCAGAGAATTCTCAAGTAACGATTATTAATATGAGTCTTAGAGTAGATTTAGTTTTTCAACTAAACTATGGTTACAAATGTAAAGTCGCATATGTTATAAATGATTTAAATGAAAAACTCAAATCTAAATCTAAATTCTAAATTCAGTTCTGAATATTTCATGTGAGACAAGTTTTAAGTAACGACTATTAATACGAGCCTTAGATTCTAAATTCTGATTTCGTACGAGCTAATGTCTTAGTCGATTAGAATGAATATTCCTATGACGATGGAGTGCATCAGATTCACTCTGTATGAGTACAAAAATCACTCGAATTCGAGTGATGACTCGATAGCTCTATTTTCCAAGTGACATTTCGTTCCAAAAAATTTTGAGAGTACCACGATATTATCCGTTAAAAGTCATTGCGTTCATCGGTATATCGCGCATGGAAAAAACATGAGGCCACCATCGAATCGTTTCATTTGGATATCGCGGTGGCCACAATTGCCAACGATTCGGAGAACTGTTGAGGAATAAAAAGAAACGCATGAAGCCCATGAGGTCATCGAGAAGCGACTGCCGAGACCTTGGACGCAATCGTTTCGGATACTTGTGTGTAGCCGCGTAACTTGCGCGCGCGCGTTCCCCAATCTATAATTCCTGTATCTATATTGCTTATAGATTATAGCCGAAATATATGGCGGTGAAACAGACGCTATTGCCGGCGTGGGTAGCGCGATAGTTCTCATGTGCGAATTGCTCGGATGCTCCGAGTTCCGGTGGAAGGCGAGTCGATACACGGAATTCGGTTACGACGATGCCTTAATAGCGCCACGGCGGTGCGCCTTACCCCGAACGTATTCTAATATGCACATATAAGTGGTTAACACATTGCCGAGCCGCAGGTTGAATTCGATTCATGGCAAGGAAGAGAAGAGGGAAGGAACGGTAGCGGGGAAGAGAAAAGGGGAAAGGCCCGCGAGCGCGCGCGATTCGACTCGCAGGAATTGATCGCCCCGCGGCGTTTCTCCGCGGCTTCTCGCATAATGGAGATTCCGCCCGAGATATTTCCCGCCGACAAGATTTACCTTGCTCGCGTTGCCGTAAAAAGTGCCACGGAGAAGACGTGGGAGATTAATTCGCTTTTCCGGTGCGTACGCGCGCGCGTACACCGCGAATGAAAATGCTCGTAAAAATACCGACAGCAAAGCAAGGGGGAGCAGGAGGCGAGGGAAAAAAAAGAGAACGAGCCGAGGGAAACCGAGAAAAGGGAAAAAATAATGGGTCGTGGAAAAGTTTCGCGGTGTTGCACGGCTGCAACGTTACTTTCACGGCGTATTAGTTTGATTCGGCAGTTAATTGAATTCGTTTGCAACTTGAATATTTGCGCTTGAATATTTGCGCCCGCAAATATCGACAAATACACCTTTTTGTAAACAAGGCAGATACATCGGGGTATTTTTCGCACGTGTGCGTTTAACGCGACTTGATAGATCGACAGGCATCGAACGTAACGCAGAAACTGCCGACAGTTCGCGGACAAAAGGGGGGCGTGTGTGCATACACAAGCCCAGCAGGTATTACAAGCGTTTTTTGTTCACCCGATAATAGCGGAACGGCGTGAGTAATCACGAGGCGCATCGTGGGAAACGAAAACGGTGCTGTTAAATAAGACCACTCGTTAACGAGCTCGTTAACGCGCCGAAGGGTGGGGGATCTAAACAAAGAGATAGGGAGCGACTGGCTGAGAGCATTGATAATGACATTTTTAATGACAAAAGGAAGAACTTGCGGTGTAAAGCAGCTGAGCTCGCCTCCACGCCACTTGCATCGTAACGGACGATCGCACGAGCTTGCGACGCCGAGTGTTGCAGCGAACTTATCAAACGAACTAATGTACCTCGTAATTATGCCCCTGATCCACTACAGTTTTTCTCGCTCTCTCGCGCATTTCCTCTTTATCAACCCTCAGTAGATTTTTCGCGGCCGGTGAAACGGCGGTAGCGATATTTCTCCGGGTTACAAACGATCGAGGCCGTAATGAAACGTTCACGTCGTCGTAAGACGATTGCACTAGATTCTTCCGTGTAAGCTGCCGGCATTGGCCAAAATTGCATCGGGACATCCGCATAGAAATTTGCCAAGATTTTCCCAGATGCGGTATAGATTAGAATCCCGAAATTTGTCCCGAAATTGGTTATTCCACTACAATATCAATTGGGAATCTCAATCTCGTCCCAAGCGTGAATTCTCTGGCTGGAATCGAAATAGAAACGATCATAGTTATGCAAGAATGATTCGACCCACGAAATCATGATTTTTGAGTTTTTGTCACCGATGAGTAGTCCCGACATTTTCTGCATAAAACAAGAAAGATTCCAGCCTTATGGGCGCTTAAAATTAATTAAAAACCGGCTTTTATTCTTTTTCCATTAGTTGTATCCATCTTTGCGTCCTTTTTATTAATTTACCTTTTTTATCTTTTACCTATTTTTATCTATTTTTTAAGAGTTAAGCTTGTCAATAAATATTTTTAAAGAGAAGAAAATTAATCATGTTTGATTTCTTGAACAATTATCGAGAATCCTAGTACTATCTATAAGTTTTCAATCATGTAACAAATTTTTATGTTTCTCGAAACGTATACATTATATGGATTGGATTATTTTTGTATAACTACGGCCATATTATTGGAATTTGTTTGGGAATGGTGTTTTTTCTCATTTGGAAATGTCGATATACTTTTATATCAGATAGAAAATCCTATTTTTTATTTTTTATATAAATTTTATTATATTTAATTAATAATTGTATTTAATTAATAATTTAATTAAATTACAATTTAATAAATTTAAAAATTAGTATAATTTAACAGAATAAAATATATTTTTAAATTACTTTAAACATTTTACGAAATAAAGACCAAAGAAAATATTTTGGGAGAACTTTGGATTTCTCCACTTAGAATCCCGTATTTGAACGCGAAGCTTATATTTCTAACGAGAAGCCACAATTATTATGGGAAATCAGACTGGATTTCAATTAACTTCAAAGAAATTTTCTATGCAGACAAGAAACAAGTAAATCCATATTACAATATAAGCTCAATCATATGGTATATTACGTAACTGTTACTTTATTATATAACAATTGAGCTGTTGTATAACATTGTAACATCGATAATATTTTATGTTTACTGGAAAGAACCTCTCTTTGCGGATTTATATTGTAATTCTGCTATAAAATATCGAGTTTTATTGACACTCTATATATTACGCAACAGACAGCGCAATTTTCGCAAAGAGAGAGTGACGTAGAAATATAAATTTCAGAAGACCAATGTAACATATAGCGGCTGTGCAATTTGATTAAAATGTAAAAATGTTCAAAATAGGTCCCGTCAGAAACGCTTTTGAAGTTGTGCTCAAATTGTTTCAGTTTCAGTTTCAGAAAGTCATTATTTCCAAATTGTTATTTCTCCCAATATTGTTTGCTAGCTTTTATTTTCGCCGAACGAATTTCATACGCAGTAAACACACTCTTCTCGCAGTAAAACAACGATACTTTGTACGTGAAAAACAATTTCGATACTATCAAAACACAAGTCAAAATATAATGGTATTTAGTTTTCAATTCCCAGTCCAAGTAATAGTTTTTAATTCGTAATCCCCCCAATGTTCTGTCTATCTCTCTGTAAACGCACGGAATATAATTGGAATTCTCATTTAGTGACGACGAGAGTGTCCCACGATACATTTCTTTTCGCGTTTAGAGCATGTATAGTTGCAGAAATTTGCCAAAATTACGAGTAACAAGCGCGGATTCCTTCCGGATCGTACTTCAACTCCCAAAAAAGATCCGAACAGCTTAATGTTATCCTAGAGGACGCTATAATTTCTCAATTATCATTCCACATGGCAGTGCGCGTCTCACGAAAAATATCTCTACGGTCCATCGTCATAATATCAATATTTCAAGCGCCATTTCGCGATACGAACCGGACCCGCCGTCCCAGAAATAACCCGAAGGAAGCAGGTAGGATACGTTTGCGACTTACACTCACGTTGGGCTCGCCCTCCGTCATGGTCCTCGAGTTTTCGTCACGGACGGCTTTTCGCACTCACAGGAATAAAATCACTTTTCTCCTTCCTCCCACCTACACCACCTTTCTCTTCCTCCCGCCCTTCCTCTATCTATCTATCTCTTTCTTCGCTCGCAAATCTCACTTCGCCGGCCGATTTTCCGTCTGTCGGCCTCGATTCAATGGATTCGGTCCATTAATCACTGATTAGCGATTGGCGCACGTGACGATATCTGTGTTGAATTTTTCACACGATGTCGCTTTGTACGTAAATGAAGATCGGCGTGCAAAGTCGGACCGCGGAGGATCGCAAAAGCATAGGGAAATAAAAGGAAACAGAGAGAGAGAGAGAAAGAGGGAGGGAGAGGGTGTGGCGCGGAGGCGGTCAACGACACCGTCGGAATATTATTTCACATACGCCGTATGGAGAATATTGAGGATAGGATATACATATTCTCTTGGTAAGGATGAAATCTATCCGCCTGATGAGGGGTGATATCCGTCGTTTTTCCCTTAAACGCTCTCGCGGCCCTCATTGAATAACGAGAGGTCCCCAGGTATCGAGTGTACCGACTGTGAGGAAATCTGTGCCCCGCTTTTACGAGCCAACGATTTGATAAATTCACGGCGCGCCAACAGCGCTGACCAACCCTCAATTTGCGAGCACTTTATTTTTTTTTTAATTTGACTGAAAAAAAGGGGACCATTTTTGCGCGGGCTCGATCTTTCGTGCGAAATGCTTTCCATTCGTTTTCCATTCGTATGAAACGCCGGTTTCGACGGCTCGAAATTATTCGTCATGCAAAGGGAGAAAAATTCTGTCGAAGAACCTCCGAGAGAGAGTACTCGGAAATTAATGACCAGTGCTACGGTGCGGCACACGCACCGAGTACTTCCCCGAGTACTGCAGGTACGCATTACCTGCGGCAGCATCGTCCGCTCGCGCGACTATTTGGAAATTCGGATTCCTTCCGCGGATCACACTTCTCGAGTTCTCGTGAAAATTTCACTCGCGTTACAAACGAAGACTGAAAAATAACGGGAGATAATTCAAACGTGCGCAGATTCGGATCGGAGAGCGTAACGACGACGAGGACTGAGTCCGCGCGTTAAATCAGACACGACTGCTCATTAAATATTGACGCAATTCTCCGACGAGTAACTCATTAACACGTCGAGCGTTACGTACGTGTCTAATTCGTAATCTGGGTAGCAGAAGTCAGCCTTGCCGCATCTAACAGATAGATCGCACGCTTGACTGTATCTCTTTATTAGCGAGCGTCGCTGATAATCCCGTGTAATTAAAATCGATCGCCGACTCGCGCAAGACGCGAGTTCACGAGGCGGGAAATGTTTTCCCTAATAAACGCCTCGTAGTGCATTTCCGCATATTCGTCACAACCACCGATGTCTCGTAATTCGATCTCGATAATGTGTTAATCCGGTATCTGCGCCGCTGCCTCCGCCGCCGCCGCCGCCTCCGCCTCCGCCGCCCCCGGTGATAAAAGCAACGGGGATACCAGAAGTCCCGACATCGAGTCACTCTTTGAACTCGTTTTTTCGCCGCGACTTTGACGAAGATATATTCCGCTTACGAACGCGCGCGCGCGCTTGTGCATTCGATATTGACGTGACGAACTGTTTTGAAAAAGAAAACAAAAAAGCGACACGAAGAAAGATGAAAAAATCCTATACAACCGCGCTATTCAAATCACTGCGGCGCAGCGTTCCACTGCGCGCGCCTTTCCACGTCATGAAATTGTATTTCACGTACGTGCTACGCGCCGACTTTTTGATCGCCGTGACGGCAGAATTGAATAAACCGCCACGCGGTATATTTGCGTTGCGAGGGCCGCGTTCCCGCGGAGTCCTGATAATAAAGCGTGACTCTATACAGATATCCGCACGTCGCTCGCTCGCCAAAGACCACGTGAAACAAGACGCGCTGGCGCAACCGTACAACGCGATATTAATCGGATAATAATAGTCTTATGCAACGAATTAGACAAGCACACGACCTTTCATCGAGTATTTTTGTCGAGGATAAAAGGCTATAGACAAATGAGCATCCACGTTCTGTGTATGAATATGCGATGAACTATGCGAATTGCGAGAAAATGGTTATGTTCCGTAGGACGCATACGCGCGTATTAATCTATAGTTCATGTTATGTGTATTGTAAAAAATACGTGTGCATATGCGTGTTACGAAACGTAGCCAATGTGTCGCTTGTCATCTCGTCTTGAAACGATTGAAATCCGAGCAACGCTTGATTTTGAAATTGACGTTGACTGTACTATATTTGCCGATCGACAATTAAAAACAACGCACACACTCTTGAAATACCCTGAGAAAAATGTTCTTGGAAATTTACTTAATATGAGATACAAAATTTACTCGCAGAAATGGATTTTACACTTCTGTGAAATATAAATTTTTGTCCCACAAATAAATTGTGGAGTAATTTTTCCTGAGCGTAGTTAAATCTGAATTATGTTATTTAAACAGAATAAACAATTGCCGTTTTCGCGAAAAAAAGAATGTATATTTTCTATTTGAAAATTACTTTTATATTGATACAAGCAAATATTAGCACCACCCCTCCTCCTCAAATAAATATTTTTTATTTTTTTTAGATTTTTATTTTATTTCTTCTCTCATAGTATAGAAATATCGTCAAGGAGCGTGATATAACGATTAAAATTCTGAAAAATAGGTGTCCCGAAGGGAAAATTCCGCGGTAGAATTTGGTGTGAGAGAAAAAAATGATTTGGGTTGAAATGATCGTCGGCCGTAATTCGGCGAGAAGTCGCCCGAGACTGCCATATAATTCCGCTTGGTGTGTGCGCTTTCCCGACGAAGGCGTATTTCAATCACCGATGATCGGCCGCGCGACATATATTCGTTGCACCTGCAGCAGGCGCAACAAAAAAGGCAGGCAAAAAGCGGACTGAACTATTCAAATTGAAATCCTGCTCCAATTCCACCTACTGCCGCGCCCGACCTCCCGTATTTCCGCGGGTGTAAGCATGACAGTTCCAGTGATTAATTCCACCTCCAGATCAATTCGCGGCCGGCGACGCTCGTTTGTCACGCGACATTTTCTCCCTGCACCGATAAAATTCCTGTCGATCGAAAAATAAGATGGACAAAGGGCGTGAGCGCGTTCCATCTAGATGAAACGCTGCTTTTTCCTTCTAGATTAAACGGACTAATACACGCCTGACAGCCGATAATTTTCGGTATTCTCGGCCGACATTGTCGAGATTCAACGAAGCGCGAGTATCTTCTCTCGACTTGAAACCCTTGAATTCAGAATCCTGATCTTTCACCCCGGCGAAAATTTAATAAGTGTCTTGGCAACCGGACGCCGAATTCAAATTCCACCGTGCGCCAAGCGTAGTTGTAATACCGTTTACGTCGCTGAGGCGGAAATATCCGAGCCGCATAAAACTGCAGTCACACGTCGGATGGAGTCGCCGCGAGATTAGCGCGAGACGCGACGGCGAATTTTTATCAGCAAAGGAGCATCGCGTTTGCGTGGTTGCGTTCAACTCGGCTCGCCAAGACCTAATCCCCTGGGGCTTATCGGTCAGCCGATAAGGGCAGAATGCGGGGTCGTTCGCAGGGTTGCGCGTCTTGAACCGCACGACGTCATTATTATACGCGACCGATATGAGAGAACGTATATCACCCGGAGAAAACGAATACGACCTTCCTGCTAGGCTGGTCAGTCGTCGGCCAACCTGATCTCTCCCTCTCTCTCTCTTTCTTTCTCTCCCCCTTCCTCTCTAATTCTCGAGTGTTCTTTCGACTCGTTTCTCTTCGGGGCCGCCGCGATATTTCATTCGCGGTCCGCTACGTCACCGGCCCTCGTCGTCCACTCGAAAGTAAGGTGTCTAAGGATAGAGGGTCGAGAGTGCGCGTGTTCACGGGTCCTCGGCGGTTAACCCACATTGTTCGCATTGAAGTAAATCGCCGTCGACGAACGCGCTCGTCGTCCATTACCGGCAAACGACAAATATACGAAGTCCCGCGGCCGCTAACCAATTGTACGAGAGCGAGCTTTTGCTTACATCGGGCGTATACACGACGTAAACATCGCCGTTGCGATGTTACGCGCGCAAACACGGTTTAGATTAAGCAGCCACGCGCTTCGCGTGGATCGACCGCGAGCTGAGTGTTTCGGGGTGCAAGCGGCGGTCCGGCCAAATACCTGATTGCTTCTCTTGATCTTCATTTTCGGATCTCTCCTAAGGAACCCTTCTCTCCCATAAAAATATGAAAAAAGAAATATTACAGCAACATTAAATTTACGAAACTATGTTAATTATGATGCTAAAGATGTGGCAGCGATATTGTTGTGAACTTTTTTCGAGACTTTTAATAAACCTCAATCGAGAGACTTCCGGGACTTTTAATAAGCCTCAAACTCGGAAATTATTACAATGTTTTCTTGGTTAATTTAAAGTTGACTTGTAGTTATGTTAATATTTATCAAAATACAATGTATATTTCAATATTTATCAAAATACAATACCTTGACCAAATGTCTAGTGGAAAAAATATAAACGAGCCTGCAAAATTCCGATTGAAGTTACCAGAATTCTGTATTAACAAGATTTTGCGGTTACCCGAGTCGAAATTTTGACTCTATATTGAACTTTGAATTCTACAACGTAATAGGAACTAAATTAGCAAAGTAGGTTTAATTCTAACGATACAATTTACTCCTACTTTGACTGATGATGTTCGAAATTTCCTTTTTCGAAATTTCCCTTTTCTTTAGCGTCAAAATGGATGCTGAATGGAATAGTGAGACTAAAAGTAAGATCAAAATTTCGACTGGGATAACCAAATAAGATTTTTAAGATTTTTGAATTCAAATTGAACAGTTGCAAGTTCTGCTTAACGAGAAATCTTGTTGACTGAGTAGAATTCTAGTAACTCAAGCCGGTATTTTCTTATTTCATTAGAAATTTGGTTAACCAGACGTGCACCGTCGGTAAGCAAATACAATTCTACGTCGATTCGCGTGTTAACTCGATAAAAAAGTTCGCTAGAGTTTTCGGCCGCTACAATTGTGTTTCGAATAGGTCAAGGGTGCATTATGTAATCCACTTGCGACGATAGAATCTTGATGTACCGACGGCATTTATACCGAAATATATGCGGACGAACGAACGTACGCCTCTAAATTAAAATAAACATGGACCTCGATAAATTTGTGGGT